CTCGAAACGATAAATACCCAGACATTTCTAACTACAGATATTTGCTGGTGGCTACGTGGACAGGAAACAGAGTTCGAGTTAAAGGAAACTAGGAAGATGTTAACTTGAGTTATGTTTTCAATGTTGTTTGTCTGAAAGCAGGGTTACACAAAAACTATTGAACCGGTTTTAATAAAACTTGGTTGAGGGGTGCTGAATGGGCCAAGGAAGAACCCATTAACTTTTTAGAGCAGATTTTCCCACCTTCTTTAACACTGCAAGAAAAGGCATTTTGAATTTCTTAAGAAATAGCTTCATGAAAGTGTAGTGTACTAATATCTATAGATGAATGAAATCTGGTGCAGATGCAGACAGTGATGTGGATGCATCTGGTCTGAATACATGTGTATGCATTATGGTGATAAAGTGGTTTTTATTGTTTATTTTATCCAGAGAGTTTTAAATGTAAATGAAAATGACTTTGAAACAGCTGGAACTGTTGTTAAACGACCTCTGGGGTTTTTGAATCATCTCAGAGAAATGGAGGCTTCGCTCTGTGACCTGAAAAGAAAGTAAAATATGAGGCACACACTTTAGCTAAGTGTCCTTAATGGCTACCCAGAGAAGCTGGAGGAGGGTGGGGGGCTGTGGGAAGTGTTGTGACCATGGGTTGTGACTAAAGCTGCTTTCAGACATGCACTTGTCAGAGGGGCTGTACGTGAGAACACAAATATCTGACTCAGTTGCTCTGGACACTATACGGAACTTTTCCAGCCAGCCCGCTGTGAGGGCTGTAGGGAAATGTCTGGAAAAATAACAGCGAGCGAGTTGATGATGTTTATTACAGTTATGTTTCAACCGTGTGGATGCAAAACTAGAAAAAACCCAAATTATGCAAAAAATCTTAGGATGTCACTCCATCACCTGAATGTTCCAGACATTTTCCTGTTGCTGTAAAGACGTCTGACCTGGACAACCTCCTGCTGCACTCTTCATATGTGAAACACTTGGAAAATGACCAAATCTTCGAGACAGTCTGAAAACCGCTTTGCAGATATATATATATATTAGGAAGGATTGATACTGTAAAGGGTTAGCAACTCAATCTGTTGTTTAGTGAAGGACTAGTAAGAGTAGTTCTCCTGTAGAGAACGACGTGAGTTTGTGTTTGAGGAGTTTTTGGTGTTGTTTCAATTTATAGAGGAAGCGTCTCTGTCCTCAATGACACCGACATACTTGCAGCTTCTGGTGAGGTCACACAGAGGTCATTCCACAATGTCTGTACTCAGAGAACCGTGGTTATGTAAAGATCTCCTTCTATTTGCATTTCCCTCACATTTCTAGAAGCACTTCCAAACCCCCTCTGGGTCCCAGTTATCCTGAGCTACACGCCAATAAAATGTTGCTGTGATTTTCCGCTGCGGTCTCAAACTTAAGAATCATACTGTATAAGCGCTGCTGTAAAATCTGCTGCTCTCAGCTCAGGGCAAAACTCAAACTCAAGCCTTTACTCACATTGTCAGATGTGTAACAAAAAAAAAGTTGTGTACGCTTTCATCTCACTGCGTCGGGATTATTGTAATTCTCTGAACATATGTGTTTGTCACTAATCCCTGGTTCTGCCCGCAGGTAGCCCAGAATGTGCACCTAGTTTTATAAGTAAAAAAGTAAAGTAGCAGGGAACATATTTGTCATGTTCCAGCCTCCCATCATTAACTGTCAAATGAGTTAAATAGTGGCTGATTTAATATTTGGACGTGTATTTATATGTAGCTTTGAATATTATATATATATTAACTCATATCCACCGCTCGAGCCATCACTTGGTCATCAAACTGATTTTTTCATCACTGTATCATATATAATTTTTAAATGCATTGTCTTCACCATAAACTGTACATAAAGATGGACGACATGCCAGCTCCCCAAAAGTGAAACCAAAGCATCTTATTCACCCCCTGGTGGCAGACTGCAGTAAAGCTCATAAACCCCACCTCCTCTGTGTTAGTGAATGGGTAATCTTTTCAGTAAGGTTTATTTTGATTAGTTATTTGTATATAACCAAACAACGACTTTCATGTTCATACAACTACTGCTACTAATGTGATTTAGATGTAGATTAACTGAATTTACTTGGAGTAATACACTTAATAGAATTCAGCACAATTACTTAAGCTCATAATTGAAGGGTAGAGATGTGAGCCACACCTTCAATAACTCAGGTCTACTTTTAAAAACACAGAGAACATGACCTCTTCATTTTCCATCATCTCACCTTATTATTCCCCGACACTCGCTCTGTCTCATTCTCGATTTCTTGCCTGATTTCATCAAAATCTGTGTAGATCTGTGTAAAGAAAAATAAACCTTTTTTAATACAAACAAGGACAAAAGGCTGTTAATGAAACACTTAACATCTCAGAAGCACGTACCGTATTTTTTGTGTGCAGAAACTTGCCCCACTCTTCACCATCTCTACCTGTGAATCACAATAAAAGCAGGGTCACTCAGGACTCTTCACTTCAGCACTCTCTAAATGTGGAGGAATGAAGTGTTGAACTACTCTGAGCAGGCGGCTAAGCAAACACAGAAACCACTAGATGCACAATAAGGATCGACACCTGATGACAGTCTAGTCCTGTGAATAAGGCAGCAGGATTGATGGGGGTAGAACTAGGAGGCTAAATCAGGTTATTTAAAAGCTGTATAATGCACCTCTGTGAAGAACAGTGGGTTTTCACACCCTGGCATCTGCAAGTAATTAGAAAGACAGAAACAGACATTCAAAACTGACGCTGGCATCTGACGATGAGGAAAATATAGATATAGATATAAGATATTATTCAACCTGGACACCAACAGTTATAATTACATCCCCTCCTTTTGTGTGAATAACAGTCTAAATACTTTAAATATGCTCAACTAGAAGGGCACTAAGAGAGCACATAACTCTGCCAAGGCCACTGTATAAGCATATTGCATATTGAGATCAGATACATACACAGAAATGATCTGAGAACTGTTCACATTAAAAACAAAATATCCTTTCTCTGACATAGCTGAAAGGAATATTTGTTTCCGTATAGTAGCTGAATCAAGACCCCCCCATAAAAATATAAATTTTGATTTAAAAAAATCTGGATCCTGATCCAGACCAAATTTCCCCTGTTCATAGATATTAGCACACAGCAATTTCTTTAGATCTTTGCATTATTTCTCACAATGTTAAAGAAAGTGAAAAACAAATCCTGGATCCACCCCCTGATCCAGATCTGCATCCAGATTTAATGAGTTCTTCCCTGAGCCATACCACATCCTTCTACCCAGTTTCATGGTAATCCATCCACTACTTGTCGTGTAATTCTGATAACTCACAAACAAACAAACGCAGGCAGATGTAAACATAACCTCCTTGGTGGAGATTCTGATATTTAAGCATCCGACCTGCTTGGTGGAGTCATGGCAGTGAAACCCTGCTGAGGTCAGAGGGATGCTGGTACATACCGCTGTCGTCATTTTTCCTGGCATCTCCAGGATCCACGTGGACCAGCTGGAGGATGAGGGGTCGCCGGGTGACAACGCCAGTCCCACGAGGAAGGAGGTCCCTGCCCACCAGGCTCTCCAGCACAGAGCTCTTACCACTGCTCTGCAGACCCAGAATAAAGAGGGAGACAGGGATTAGATACTGAGGTCATGTGGTGCGTCGTTTGAGAAACCCCAGTCACGCCAACCACCACGAGTCTGTTCGTCACCTTACAATAAAGGTCCTTGGAGTGGACAAAAGGTCTAACTCAAACGTTTAAAGTTTAATGACACTTATCATGGACGATTGATTATTAACTTTAATTTCCTCCAAACACATAAACAAGTAAGAGTCAAATCTTGTGAAACTTGACATGCTGACAGTGGGAGTCACCATGAACAAGAGAGAGGTGAAATATCTGTGTCACCTTTCAAGGATTAAAAAAATTATATATATATATTTAATATGACCAAGTTCTGAGTTCCATAATGAAAAAGTTCCCTTTAATTTTCTAAAATTAAAAACATTCTGTAAAATCTTCAGAAACTTGACATACTGACAGTGGGAGTCACCATGAACAAGAGAGAGGTGAAATATCTGTCACCTTTCAAGGATTAAAAAAAATTATATATATATATATATTTAATATGACCAAGGTCTGAGTTTCATAATGAAAAAGTTCCCTTTAATTTTCTAAAATTAAAAACATTCTGTAAAATCTTCWGAAACTTGACATGCTGACAGCAGGGGTCACAATGAACAAGAGTGAGGCAATTTATTTGTGAAACCTCTCAAGGATTTATTTTAAATAACATTTAACAAGAGCAAGTTATGAGGGCCATAATGAAACAGTAGCCAACTTTCTTCTTGAAAAAAACATTCACATGAGAGTCCATTATACTTGTTGTCTTGTGTGGAAATCACCGCAGTGATTAGATGAGGGAGAAACCAGGGGCTTCATCTATCAACACCAGGGATAGAGGCTGCACAGCCTCATTGCACCTGTCTGTTCCTCTGGCACTGACCTGGTTTAGTCAACAGAGGTGAGTGTGTAGATGAAGCTCTGAGAATAGCAGTGATTGAGAATGATCAAAATAGATTTCAGTGCCTCTGCCAGAGCTGACTGCAGATGAGCTTTGCAGCAGTGTGGTTCAAAGTGCAGCTCGGTCTGTAGTTCAGTGTGTAGTTCAGTGTGTAGTTCAGTGTGTGGTGTGGTTCAATGTTTAGTTCAGTGTGTGGTGTGGTTCACTGTGGTCCAGCAGAGCTTCCTGGGTAACAACCATCTCACACAGCCTCTAGTTCCCCTTGGTGTCTGTATATGTAGCATGCTAGTGGAGTATCAACAGCTAGCGTAGTTACCTTCATTCACACCTGCATTAAAGCTAGCTTATCAAGCTAGCATGGCGGCTACATGATTAACGCACACACGCCCAGCGTCTTACCTGAGTCCCGACCACTGCAATCTGCGGCAGCTGGATGATGTCCGCCCCCACCGTGTTGAACACGTCCTGCAGCTTGTTTATCACCGGGATGAGAGCCTCCATGTTTGCGCTGCACCAAACAAATCGCAAACAGCGGCTAGTTTCGTGATGGAGCCAAAGTCATTCAATGTCCCACCGACAACACCATTGCAGCGACACGCACAGGCTGGAGGAGAGGCGCAGTGTCTCAGTGTGCTGCTGGGAGGTGTAGTTCTCCTGCGGCAGAGAGCTACAGCTCAAACAGAGGGGGTAACTACAAAATGGCGGCTATGGGAAATATCGCGATATTGTGTGACCTCGCGCATGCGTCATGCGGTGTCGGTGACAGGCTAGTTTGGTTTTTAGCAGCTCGGTCAGGCTTCACCTTAACTTGTAAACTTACCTCCTGTTTTTCACTCATCAGGTGATTCAGCTGTGGATAATTCGTGAACGCCTTCGCCAAGCCACCATGTTACAGTTCCTGGTGAGTTCAATCAACATCGTCAGTCAAAGTATCGATGTTTTCCGGGTCTATTGAAAGATGTCAGCGAAGCTAGCTTAGCAAGTGTGTTAGCATAATGGAAACTGTGTCAGTAGACTTAACCATTACTTTTCTTGATAATTTAAGTTGTCAGTTTCAGTAAACTGTTCAAAATGAACCAACACTAAGTTAACACTTTATTACTACGTTAAGTGAACGCGAACACACGTGTGAAGGTGATGTTTACCATTAGATCTCATTCATGACATTTGTTTTGTTCTCATCCTCAGGCTGGCTTCACTCTGGGGAATGTTGTGGGGATGTACCTCGCTCAGAACTATGATGTAAGTCTGTCTGATTTGAATCTGTATTAATGAACCTTCACAATTACAGGTCAATAAGTTAAAGAAGTGCTCTGCCTATCTCACTGTCCCACCCCACTCCAGTTCAAACTACACTCAGTTAGAACGAATGCTTGCTATAGTCTGGTTTGAATCTCATCCTTTAAAGTGTTATTGTTGCATGAGGTTCAGTGAGGTGTTCTTTCAAAAGCTGGGTGTTGTTTGGAGATCCAGTCAGGGGTGTGGCTGGAGCCAATCCCAGCTGTCAATGAACCAGATACACAGGTTGTCAGTCTGTCACACGACAAACAATATAGAGACTCACATTGTTACTTACAGTCAATTTATAATCTTTAATTACCCTAACCCCAATATGTGTGTTTTTGGACTGAGGGAGGACGCTGAAGCATCGTGAGAAAACCCATGCAGACTCAGGGAGAACATGCAAACCGAATCAGGATTATTTATATGAGATGTTCACCACTGAGCCACCCTTTCTTAGACATATTGGAGATGTTAGTTATACCTCAGTATAATGCAGTACAGTGTAAAACTGTTTCTGAAACTGTTACAACAAAAACATTATACCCTTCACGATTTAATACATTGTTTTAGGGAGATATACCTAATGAACTGATACCAACCAAATTTGTACTGTTTTTTTCCTAGGTCCCAAACATAGCCAAGAAAATTGATGCCTTCAAGAAAGATGTGGAGGCCAAGAAGAAGCCTCCAGAGTGAGCAAAGCTGCACCATGAGGGAAAGAAGAACAGATTGACTCTGTAGAGCAACTATTTATTTTACAGGGTTGAGATATAATGAGTGTACATTTGTTGAAAGGACTGATAATATATGTATGATAATATCAACAGTGCCTGGAATAGTATTTGCTTCCATTAGTTTTATAGGCACTTTCTCATTGTAGCCTATTTTCATAAGATAAATTGTGCAAAGAGTGGATTTAAATAACATAACTAGTAGGATCACCTTATGTCAGGTATCTACCATGGCTTTCTGGCCTTTTTGTTATGTTTTGACTGACATTACATTACTATCTTCATGTAAGGTGGACAAAATTAATCTAAATAATCAAATTAATATTTCATGAGTGTGCATTTGCTCTTTTTGTGTTGAATTTAACGACATTTAAGGAGATTCTTTCACAAAGCTTTCAAATTGTCAAAAACAGCTGCCAAACTTTTTATGATGTTTGTGTAAACACAATTCTGAATCAGTCATTTTACAATAAAGCTGATGATAAAGAATAAAGTCTTGGCCTTGTGGAATAAGTTTTGTTTATTGGTAAGATTTCGCTGATGCCCTGATGATGCATTACATTAGTTCCAGCTGGGGTGTCATAACAAATGTGTCCAATAGATGGTGGCATTATCAAGGTATTAACATGTAACTGGCAATTTAATCCTGATGAGAAGCAAAACAGCTTTTCACCTTTGGCAAAATTATAAACTACTTTTTCTTCTTCCGTTTTGTTCCCTTCTTCTTCCCTTTCTTTTTTTTGTTTGCATTTGGCCACCCAAAGCCTCTGAATCCCAGACAGTCCACTGCATTGTGGGAGATGTAGTAGACGTTCTCCCTGGCTGCTGGACTTAAGATGTCCCCCTCTGTCTTGGTGGTCTTGGCACTGGACGACCGCTTTTTAGGCGTTTTTAGACCACCGGTCTTTTTGGCAGGTCTAGAACTGTGGGACCTTGATTTCCTGGATTTGGTGGGCTTTGAAGAAAACATAAGAAATGTACTTGTGTGGATCCTTCACAGAGACCATATCGAGTAGTTTACATTGAAACATTACTTTACAAAGGAGAAACAAAAAAAGGTAAATATACTTTACCATAGTGAAAAACGTCAAGGTTACTTCCAGTCTGATAAGGTTTTCTACCCATCTGCAAAATAAAATACAAATACTATTGAATGCTCTAATTAGAATCACATAACACAGAATTGTTTAGATAAACAAGATGCTATAGTAACAAACAAATTAAGAGTATATTCATGTATCTTACCAGCTCTGGACTTGGCACCGTTGTAAGTGGCAACTGAATGGCTTCAACTTCGACAGTGCTAACCCATCTGTTTACATTCTGTCGTCATAGTGACAGAGTGGACTCGCTCATGAATGACGGGGGTTGGCCTCGTTCACGTGCCTGTAAAGTCCACATCCACAACAAGGCAAGTCTTCAAATACAAAAACATTAAACTTAACTACAAATTACAGATAAAATAAATCAAAAAGCATCTTTAGGTTTTTTTATTTTTTTATTTTTAGTGCAGTCAGTTTAACCATTTGTCAAGATAATCGTTTTCAGATTCTTTGGCAGCTCCCACCTAAATCTCCTGACTTTAAAAAACACTTTCATTCACATTGTAGTGAAGTGTGGTTTTGACATTATTGTAGCGTTTAAATACATTCAGCAAATGTAAAAAAACTCACGCAGAAGCTCTTGACTCAGTCATGCATAAATATCCACAAGTGTGCACATACTGTAAGAATAAATCCAATATGGACCTACAAAGATCTCAGTTGTGAACAAAACAGACACAGCCTACAATAAATATTCAGTTTGTCTGACTTCGAATTTCACAATCAAAGTGTCGATTTACTGCGCAAGCAGTAGTTGGTATTAAAGACCAGTTTTTTTTGTTTAAAAAAGCCTCTGGTGCAGCATCACAATAAAGTCTTTGTGTAAACTGATAATGGTGGAAAATAAAGTGGTGACTGTCACACCAGTAGAGCAGTTCAGTGGTACTGAAATTGTATTAACTAAAGTAAGAACCATCCTTCCTGCCAGTTCTCCAATAGTTACTTAACTTAAGTACTTTTTTTGCACATGATGTATGTATGTATTAATAATGCATGTGTACTTTACTTGAGTAGATTTAAGTACTTTTCACTGTTGATCCCCTGTCAGCAAATATCTGTACTTTCAACCCAACTATAGATGTACAATCCATTGCATTACTTGTCTTTTCCTTATTTAAAAGTATCAATATCGATAAGAAAGTGACCAATCTGATTGGGCAGGTAACATTAGACCCCGCCTTCTGCAGCACCAGCATCAATGGTGCAGAAACACAGCCGAGGCTTATCCATGATGATGTTACATTAGGGAAAAGGGTTCACTCGGCTGGTACTTTAACTCAAGTAAAAAAGTCAGTGTAATACTTTTACTTAAGTTAAATATCTGTCTCCCAAAAATACAAAGAAAATGGTTTAATGTTTTCAGGGTGAAATTATATTATATTTCAGTGGTCAAAAGGTTGTAAACAAAAAGAAGTTGGAACTTGATGCATTTCAGCCCTTGAAGTCGACAAAAAAGGTCTAATGAAGAGGGGAGCTATTGTGGGGTGATGAGGTTGACGATCATTTGGATGATGCGGGAGCTGCGGGGGCAGTTGAACAGGTCCATGTTTGGTTTCCTGATCTTGTCCTCAAGCAGCTGGTCCAGCTCGACGCGCAGCTCCTTCACCAACTCAGCCACCTGGGTACAACAAACACAACACATGTTACAGAGCAGAATAAGTTTCGCTTGCATAAACAATAATTTATCTCAGCACAAAGTATATTTAGTTTATACAGCTATTTTCAGTATTATTATGCTCATATACTCAATATATGTGGCTGTCGTTGGTATTCTTTGGAGTCCCTTTAAAATCAAATCTAAACAGAACATTACACAATTTTACAAACTAAGCATCACTCACTGAGATTTGGGTTTTGTTTATCATAAAGAGATTTGTCACCCAATTTTCACCCAAATAATTATTTAGATTGGTTCTTTTAGGAATAAAGGGAAATTTCAACTCAGTGATTTTAATAGTTGCATGTATTAGTTATTATCCCTGACCGTAAAAGAAGTGGCACCAAATCGGATCCATCCGTCGTCCAGGGAGATGATGCACTCTCCCTTGTGCACCTCCATGTTGACCTGACCTCCTCCAAACAACACCAGCGCGTAAGCAGACACCATGCTGCAGTCCCTGATGAAGACACGGCTTGTTTTCACCTTCTCGTGGTAAACCAGGAAGGGGCTGTCGTAGTGACGAACCTGGACAACAAAAAAGAGTTACAGGGCGTGTTCTTATTTCTCTTTTTTATCTATTGAATAGAATCCTTTGAATTTCCTTTTCTAAGCTCACAGTGTAGTTGATGGACGAGGGGTGCATGTGAACGCAGCCATCGTTCTTGGTCATTAAGCGAAGCTCGCTGGCTTTAGGCTGCATCTCCATCGCTCCTGTGCTGGTCTTCATGTAGTTTCCTTGAGGAGCTTGTACCTGGATCACAGCGTCAAAAACAGTGTGATGTGTGAGTGTGAAGGCAAGTACGGGTTATCACTTAATTTCAGTTTTCTATTAAATTAACAGTGATAATTAAAACCCACCTGGACCACGTTGGGATAGAGGGCTGCACACAGCATGGCAGTTATCAGGTGATGGTTTTCTGAGTTCAGGTTAGCCTGGAGAGGGACGACATGTAGAGTTTTTTATATAAAAAATCTGTGCAATTGACAGACACCTTTTTTACATATTATTTTGACTGGTATTTAGCAATTTACAAGTACTCAACACAACAAATCACCCGCAACCAACCCTCTACAACATCCTATCATGGCAACAAGTACACAAGATTAAATAAATACAAAGTTTAAGACAACATATAATCATTAATTTTTTGATCTTAACCTGTAGTGTTTATGTGTTACCTCAGAGCCTGTAGCATCTAGAACACCGTCAGTGCCATAAGAGGACATGCGCTCTATCACCCTGGCCCTCAGTCCCCCCTTGATGAAGCCGATGTCAGATAGCAGCTCAGCAAACTGCCTCTTCAGACTGGCGATCTCCTGCACATAGAAAAATATTCAAACAATTAAAATCAAGTACAAGATTTATATCTATAAAAACTAAAGTTTTCTGATAAAGGGAGGTAAAAAAACATGTCTAGTAATTTAAACACTGCAAACAGGAACTCAACATTAACAGTTTTACACTATTGTAGAAGACAAGTGAGCCTCTGACAGCACACACAGTCTGACCTGTAAGCCTCGCCATGACAGGAAGTTTTCCTTGCAGTAAGCAAAGCCGGCCTTTTTACTCCTTTTTGCAGCACAGCACCATCCCTGCAACAGAAGGAGAATCCATCACATTGGAATACATGTAATATCCAATATTTTTTACATATCAATACTGTGTTTTAAATTTAAAAGAATCCCTGTCCGTACCTTATATGCTTGTAACAATGCAAGATGGTCGCTGTTGTTCTTGGCAAAGGCCAATTTCTTCTCATTGGCTTCCTCTCGCTTATTCCATGGAGACATCTGGAAGAGCGGGGACAAAATGTTTATAGCATAAAAATCATCCAGGTCAATAATAATTATCTGATGTTTAGTTTCCTCACAAAAGGTGATTTGGAGGCCAGGCTGGCAGCAATGGTGAGTGCCGGGTCGAGGCAGTGGAAGATGGCGCCAAATAGCATCAGTTTCCCGATGCGCACGTCAACAGGCAGGCAGGCCAGGTGGTAGCCCAGCGGGGTCAGCATCTGGTCTTCAGTTAGAGCTCCCAGGTTCTGCAGGCGCTGCTTGGCTGCATCCAAGCTTTCCATTGACGGGGGTTCGATGAGCCGAGAGAAGACCGACTCCAAAGTCCTCTCGGCAAACAAGTCCAGGATTTTGATCCTGTCAGAGAGAAAGGGGAGTAGTAAATATAAGCACAGGTAATAACTGGTTTGCATGTTCTAGACAAAACCTCAGGTAATGCCTAGCAGAAGAAAAGATTGCCTCATGACGACAAAGTAGGTTGGCATTGTGTACAAAGAGCAAACAGATGGAGGTACCTGAGGGAGAGCTGCTCCAGAGGCACTCTCTGGATCTCCGGCAGCTGTTGCTCCGCCAGCTGGTGTTGGAAGCAGTGACTGGTGAAGAGGTGGAAGCAGACTCCTGAGGCCACACGACCCGCTCGACCCTTCCTCTGCAGCGCGTTGGCCTGTGAAACCCATGAGTCCTCCAGGCTCTCCATGCCTTTCGATGCATCGTACCTAAAATACAACCAAGAAAGATGTGGAATGTGGAACTTAACTTTAAAAAGTGATTCATCCCTATTAAGATAGGAATAAAACAAAGCCTTTATTGTCATTGCATTGTACAAACTTACACTGTAATTAAGTGACAAATGAATTAATCAACGATTCACATACATCAAAGAAGTATCTGTTCACCTGAGGTTAAACATTAGATTACCTTTTCTCCTTCATCTTGCCACAGTCAATCACATAAACCACGTCGTCAATGGTAACAGAGGTCTCTGCGATGTTGGTGGAGATGATAATCTTTGTGGTGCCCTCTGGTGGCCGACTGAAAACTGCCTCCTGCTCCTCGTTGGACAAGGATGAGTGGAGTGGGTACACCACACACCTGATGTGAAGACACACACAGATGTTACAATTGGACCAATAGCTAGTAAATATTAATTTCCCACTTTACTTCACTTTGGAGATGACGCATTATAATTTTTTTAACACTCTCACACACTCATTTCGACACACACCTGCTTGTCCCTCTGTTGTTGAACATTCTGTTGGCCTGGAGCTGTTCATAGAGCATCTTGATCTCAGCAAGGCCTGGCAAGAACACCAACACTGCACCTGGGGCAGAAACACAGCTAAACTAAACACAGGATTCAAAGGGACAAATACACTAGTATTCAGTGTGTGGGCTATGTCTTACCAGGAGGGTAGTCGTGTTTTCCAGCTACAATCCACTCCAGCAGACTCTCCACCAGGTCCATGTTTATCTTGTCCAGGTCCATTGCAGAAATGGTCCTCAGCACAGACTTCTCAACATCTAAATCAATGACAAAAACAAAATGTGTTAATGCATGGATGTGCAGGAGCAGTTTTTGTGAATATGACCCAGGAGGTGCAGTTTGAGACCCTGAACAATATCATATCAATTCTATTTATGATGTTTCTTCTCAACTCACCTTTGTATCTGATTGTGAGGTCCTGCAGGCTGAGCTGCTGGTCTGGGATCCTGTCATTGACAAAGTCCTTATTGCAGAAATCCGCGAAGTTCCACATGTCGTCACCCAAGTCGTCCACCATGTCCCTTGGCTCTACATTGCTTCGCTCACCCATAAAAGACATTTTGTGTTTCTTTGAACGCATGTAAGGGCTGCCATCCTCCATGACATAACTAGGAAAATAAATCAAAGAAAAGTGTATCAGAGACAGAACAAGACTTATAGAATTAATTATGTTCTTACAGTTTTTTTAAAATGATTACGAGTGTAATTTACTGTAATGTAGGAGAATTTATTTACCCAGTTTTAGCCAGGGCGTCTTCCAGAAAAAACTGGTCGACAGGATAAGTTCGCCCTGGAACAAGATATGTTCATTTAGAAGGGAAAAAGCTGCAAAATGACTTGCAAGAGGAATTTGATGCGAGTTGTTGTGCAATAGACACTGCATGTATTACCTGGTATATGGATGGAGGGACAGTTGTTAAAATATTCAGAAAAGAGGTTGGCATTAAGTGTAGCACTCATGAGAATGATCTTCAAGTCTGGTCTCTGAACAATCAGGTCTTTGAGCACCAACAGCAGGAAGTCACTGATAAAAAAGAAAGAAACAATCAAAAGAAAAATTAGTGTGTGAATATATATTTTAAGGAGATTTAGAAGGGATTGAATACATTTCCAAAGATCCAAACATGGATGATGGAAAGCATGAATGCACATGCAGTCTCACCTCTCCTCTGTGCGCTCGTGCACCTCATCCACAATGACGTGTGTGACTCCTTTGAGGTCTGCCTCTCCCTCGAGTCTCCTCAGTAACACGCCTGTAGTGCAGTACAGGAGTCTGGTGGCAGACGTCTGAAAATAAAAGACCCAAAAATTAGATCCAAGACACATACATTCGATTCCATAGGTTTCTCATGTCACCAAATCAGCATTAAAATCTTTCACGTGCATCCCAAAAGTGTGATGACTTACTGACGTTTTGTTGGGGATTTCAAAATGTCATGTTCACGACATTACAAAATTTGATTTGTTGATTCCAACTTAATAATATTATAAACTTGATATATATGCAGAATTATTCCATACCCTGGCGCTCTCCAGACGGATCTGATATCCCACGGAGTTACCCAGTTTCTCTGCACGCTCCTCTGCCACTCTCTGAGCCACAGAGATGGCAGAAATACGGCGTGGTTGGGTACAGATAATGTTGGCCACCTGATCAGCTGAACCCCTCAATGAGGCGTCCAGAATAAACTGAGGGATCTGGGTGGTCTTACCACACCTGCAGAGAGGAATATAATCATACAGAGAGTGTGGAATAGAATGAGTGGGCATGTTTTGTCTGTTACTTTAAATACATCCTCTGCTTTTTTTATATATATTTTATTTATATATTTTATGACGTTTTGTTTAAGCATGCTACTGAGCAACAGCAATTCAGTTTTATCTTTCCTTTAATCAATCCAAATAAAGATTATAGGAGCAGTACTTCCTAGATACAAATCTTTGTGAAAGCAAATACTTGTTTGTGTGACCCACCCTGTCATCCCACTGACAACCAGCACCTGACACCGGTCCAAAATGTCAAGGATGTTCTCTTCTTCTTGCCAAGCCGGCAGGTTCATCCTCTGCTCCTTCATGGACCTGTAGCGCCTGCATACCTGGGTGATAAGAAGCAGGATTATAGCAATACATTATAATAGATTGATAAAGTTGGAAAATTATGTAAAGTAAGAAAATATAAATCAATCAAAGCAGTTCTCTTCTACCTGTTTCATGTGGAACTCTCGACACAGCTTGCGGTTTTCTTGCAGTACATTGTCAAAGTTTTGAGTGTGCCTAATCACAACTCTCTTCCGCTGACTAATGTAGCACTTGTTTTCATCATTTTCCTCTCTCTCGTCCAGATCCTCTACCTCCAGTGTCTTATTCACTTTAAAGACAGAGATGGATGACTCAATACAGAAGCACATAAACACAATTCTAAACAGTATTAAATGAAAACAGGCTCTAAATTAAGTAAATAAACTTTTTGACTCACAGTCTAAGGGTATTTTGGTTTTGGGTGGAGCAGTCCTGCTGTGAGAGTGATCAGTACTACTGATATTACCACTCCTGCTTTCCTCTGCTGTACTGCTCCTCACACTCATACCCTTAGCTATGGGGATAGAAGGGGGAGGTACCGACACAACAGGCGGCGGAGAGCTGTATTTGTGGTGACTGACAGACAGCAGCTCCTTCATGGTAGCTTCATCTTCACACAAGGTAGTCAGATTGTAAACAGCAGGCTCGTTGTTCTTTGCCGCTGAGAGTGCCTCTTCAAATAATCTCTCGGTCACGCTGAGCCTACCTGGTGCTCCGACAGATTCATTGTTGGTGCTGAAGGCGACTATCGGTGCCTGAAATGGGTAACGATTTCCTTTGGGGAAACGGATTTCCAGTTCATACTCAGGAGGAGAATAGCTGCTGAATCCAGGCTGGCTTGGGCCCGTCATGTCTGGTGAACCAGACCTCCCTTTGTCAGGAAGTTGGTGTTTGAACTTGCATTTGTCTCCAAAGCGGCAGCCTTTCCCTTTCAAGTAGAATTTGCAGACATCACGGTTGTTAATAGGCTTTCCACCATCAGCAATCTCACGCTTCTTGCCATTGTTTACTGGGAGGAATGAGAGGTCCAGGCTCAGTGTCCACACTGTGTTAGCAATGCGCTCACTGAAGCGGTCACCAAAAATGGCAGCGAGAACCTGAGCTTCCTCCTGTCTCAGGGTCAGACACTCATCCATAGGCACTGCCTGAAGGTTGTCAGGAGACACTGCTTTCTGGCCGTAACGCTCAGTGAAAACCTGGTGGAGGAGCTGTTCCAAAGTGGCCCCAAACTCCCCCCCACCACGTCCGAGAGCCAGTTTACTGCGTTCCCTGTCAAACCCAAACCTGCAGAAAGCAAATGGGAAAAATTAGAGATTCATTTCACAAAAGCAGGAGGATTTTTAATGTCTAAAACATCCAAAATCTGAAAACAAAGGTCTGCACATTACCTGCAGAGTTTGCCTATGGCAAATAAAGAGATGACGGGTTCTGGGGCAGGTCGTTCATCATCAGACTCTGTGTCATTCAATGGACTGTCTGCTCTCTCCACCGGCTCATCATTAGTGGCCCAAAACTGGCCTTCCTCACGGTGATCCAACTCATCATATTCCTCCTTTTCTCCCCCCGAATCTGTACCATCTTCACTGTGGGAGAATGGTGCAATAGAACAATTTGTACTTGCAGTCACCCAAAAAGCTCGTTTCTAACTATTAGATCACATTTATCAAATTAACTGTTAAAAAAGGCTAAAAACATTCAAATTAGCCTTCATCAACAGTTAATTTGATCTAGCCTTTTCAATGCATATTAGGTAGAGTGTACTTACTCATAAACGTCCTGACTCTGCAGATATGGCAGCAGCTCCTTGAGCTGGTCTTGGTTCTCATTAGTCATGAAGATCTTCTGCAAGGGCTTGGAGTTCCCCTCATACAGGTTACCATAAACTGGAGCTTGTTTTGGGCTGGACCTGATTCTCAACAGGCAGTCCGGGAGACCTATGGGAGAGCCTCTACTTCTCCCATCGCTTCTGCCGTTTAGATCCCTTCGTCCTCTACCTCTGCCTACATCCCTGCTAAGAGCAAGGCTGTCACTGCTTCGTTCTTTGCTAGGTCTGTAGATAGAGTCAGGTAAACAGAGAGATGAAGGTGAGAAAATTAAATGATCATTATTTTACAAATGTTATTCATGGATGATTTGCTGTTTTGCAACCAAGATAACAAAAAACAAAACTGAGTAAAATACAAATAAGAACAAAACAAACACAAGAATGTGATGATTTGGAATCTGATATATGAATAAGATATGAATGATTTCTTCCAAAATCCATTTATACCTGCTGGAACGAGAAGGTCCAACATCAAGGCTGAAATCGTCATAGCATTCATCCCATCCACCGGCTCCTCCTTTCCTACCGGCACCTGCACCGGCACCTCCTCCTCCACCTCCACCTCCACGACCACCCCCTCCTCCTCCTCCTCTTCCTCCTCTTGGCTTGTTAAACTTGCCTCCTCCTCTGTTTGGCTTCCCACCACTTTTCCTAGTACTCATTTTTCTGTGAAAACATGAATGCATCACTTAGATCACAGATAACCAGCACGTTATGAACTTAAGGTAGTGGGCTAATTAAAACATACTAAGAAACCAAACAAAACTCACCTACGATCAGGTGCAGCCAACAAACTGTGAAGATAGTTAGACGGTGTGGTTGAGTTTTCAACAATCCTGGTTTAGCTGCTGCTGTACTCAACTCTCCTCTCTGGGTCTCTAGTACGAGCAGTGAGCTGGTGGCTACTGTTATGCAATAAACCGAGCACGCAGACTGTGACGGTTCCACAGCAAAGTGATGACTTAAGGTTCCACAGCAAAGTGATGACTTAAGGTTCCACAGCAAAGTGATGACTTAAGGTTCCACAGCAAAGTGATGACTTAAGGTTCCACAACGGTACAACTCGTCTTCAGAAGGGCGAACGTATCGTCAAGTTAGTTTCAGTATCACGCTTTAGCTAGCTAACGCTCCGATGCTTCTCACTTTTGGGTCAACAAGTTAACGTTAGATCCGCTTAGAGAAACTGGCACACAGGTCCAGTTCCGAGAGTAACTTGCTAACCAACATTATAGACTAGTGCTACAAAGGATCAAAGTACTTAGAACACACAGACTGAAAGACATTGCTGCCTATGATTGCCTATGGAATCAAAGGCTCCTCTGATTGGCCCAAACTGGGTTACGTCACTTCCGGTGTCCGTGGGAGCGAAGATCAATAACAACTTTTTTTTTAAGTATGTGATTTAAAAAAAAACTGGATGTTGCTGAAACTGAAAGTGACTTGCATTCTTAAGAGGGGACGCTGTTTAAAAATAAAAACTTTTCTAAAACTCTGGTAAACCCGTCACCACGGTAACAGCAGTTCCTGTCTGTAGCTGCAGCAACACAGAGCGACGAGTGAGTCTCCACCGTCTTCACTGTATTTGTGTTATTCGAGTCTAATTTAGTCAACGAAGCGATAAGAGGTAGTTTCATTTCGCAACTTTTAAATTGGTCATTTGAGAGAAATTACCCGGTTTACACCGCGTTTCCTGTAGGTGCTGTACTGAGAGAGAGAGAGAGAGAGAGTGAGAGAGAGACCAGCTGGTGGGGGTCACAAACACGCACACTTTATGTCATTTCTTTTCACTTTCAGAAAAGAAGGAAAGAGATTCTTTAGAAAATGATAAATATCCAAGTTTCATACAGAAATGTGTTGTGTTAGCAGGGGAAGGTATGTTGAAGGTTTCCTACATCTTCCCAAATGGAGACAGATATGGTAAGTATGTGATGATTAAGTTAGACAGCCACATTGCACAGGTCTGTGTTAACTTCTCTTCCCCCCACAGAGGGGGAGTGCTGCAGGTCGGCCTCTGGAGCAATGGTGAGAACTGGTGTTGGTAAACACACTTCAGCAAATGGGATCGTATACACTGGAGAGTGGCGTGAGGACAGGGTAATGCAACAACTACATGCCTACATGGCCCTCGGGCGTCTGTGACTCAAGCCTGGATGGTTGTGGTTCTCTGGGGTTAGTCACGCTCGTTCTCTGTCCCCTCCTCTGTCCTTCTCCCCACAAACCCCACAGATGCACGGCAGAGGGACCCTGCAGCATCCTTCCGGAGTCCTGTATGAAGGAGAATTCAAAGACAACATGTACCACGGCATGGGGACATATACTTTCCCAGATGGCTCCACTTACAATGGTCACTTCCACGAGAACATGTAAAAAGAAGTCTGTTTAGACACACGTGTTTTCTAGAGTTTCCACAGTAATGTTCTGCAGTTGAGGGATATAATACAGCAGCAGCTGTAAGGCTCCTGTTCAATATCAGTGGATTAATATTGGCAGATAATCAGTGTTTGTTTTACTAATGAATTTTACAATGTTATTTTATGCAAATATGCCACATGTTGTTGTGCTTGAGCTTCTCCAATGTGTGGATTTGCTTTTGTCTTTGTCTTATGCTATAGTAAAATCATAACATTTGGGTTTTGCACTGTTGCTCAGACATGGGATAAAGATTTTTAATATTTATAGAGAGAAAAATAATCAGTCAATTGGTTGATATCGCCAGTAATAATTAGATGCAGCCTATGTATGGGCCACTATATCCTGCATAAATGGTTTAGAGACAGGAAACTATTTCCATTTTTCTTTGTTATACTAATGTCTTACAGATGATTGAACTGATGTGTGTTTCCAGGTTGGAGGGAGATGGAGCTTTCACCAACACACAAGGCCTGGTTTGGACGGGAGTGTTTCACGGCAAAGCAGCTCTGGGGCTGAAAATGCAGCACAACATTTAGACAAAAACAAACATTACCGTTCTGCTGTGTACAGAACATTGTAGAAAACCGTATATTGTGAATTAGAATTTTTTTTCCACGTAAGTATTATATTCCAGATTTGTGCATTAAATATGGGTAGATAAACCCTGAGGATCACATCCATGTGTTTCTGTGTATTGGTTAAATAGCCATGCAGCCAGTGAGTCATGTCCTCTGAGTCACGCTCTCAGCTCTGTGTCCTGCTCTACTGGTTGTGTTGCTCTAGCAAAGCAAGTGTTTGTGTGAGAGGGACATATCACACGGTGGATTATTATTTATTTTTTTTACCATAATTCACTTTTATGTAGCTCTGAGAGAAGAAATGCATTAGTTGCACTTTTTTGTTGAGTTGTTTAGACCCTTCTTTAGTTTTTACAAACTATGCGCTATTAAAACCTCAAAATTTGAATTATCTTTCCCTGAAGGACAAGCACAGGGGTTTTACATCACTACACCTCCAGCCAGTCACAGGGGGGCATATGCTCACAACCCCATTTGCAGCAGCTGTACCCAAACTGTTGGAACATTGGCCCGAGGAAGTGTGTGATGTGATGTGAGTGGGTGGTCAGTTTGACCTTCACCATGCGTGTGTGTGACCCAGCCCTCCCACCCGCTGTCTCTCTGCACGACTCCCTCAGCTGACAAATAATTATTTCCCCAACAATCACAATTGTTCAATATTGTTTAATAAGCAACTCTGATATTGTTATTTGTCATTTGATAATGCCTCTATATATCTGCAATTGCACATACCCCTGAATAAAATTCAGTATTGAGTATTCATCTATACGATACAGATATGTTAATGCATGTAAGAAAAACACATAAATATTGTAGTAACATCCAAACAATGCTAAACACGCCTGGTAAGATACTGTACCAGATACAAGAAAACAGCACTTTCATTGATTGTACAATTTTCAGGTAGAAAATAACATTTCTGTATTGCAAACCTTAGTGGTGATAAATTAAAAAAAACTTACATATCATCATGGAGGCAACAATTAAATAAAAAGAGAAAATGGCACGCTAATTTGGCACAAGATACAAAAAAGACATAGATACTCAATCACAATGAGTTATTGTGTTTGCTTACACACTAAATGTTTAGATCATAGACTGTATATAAAAATGGATGACATAACAGTGAAGCCAAAGCATCTTGATCGCCCTATAGTGGTTGGCTGCAGTATAGGTCATAAATCCTGTCACCTCGCACTTGAGGTGTGTGCCAGATGTGTATTATCACTACATGTCGTGAGCTAAACGATGAGACAGAAGCTTTTAAAACTGTTGCAATATATTATCTCCATAAACCTGAGAATCTATTATAGTTTTTTTTCAAACATTTCACCTCCTGAAGAAGAAAAGAATGATAAAACCCCTTTGTAAAGCAGAACACTGTGACTTCAGGATTAAAAAAGTACACTTCTAATTGTGCTGGATACATCATTAGACAAATAAAGGACATTCCACATACAATTATTAAAGTGTGAACAGATACTCAAAACTACACAGTGGCCATGCACATTCCCACAGAGAAGATTCTTCTATACACAGATAATACATGACGGCTCCTGACCCATCGACAAGTCGATAACAAACTGAACCAGTGACGTGGTAAAAAAGGTGGCCACGCTTATTTGGTCTCTGTGCTCGTGAATGTGCTTCAAGTACAGAAAGCTCTCAACTCAGGTGGTAGGTAGTTGAACCATAAGGTTCAGTTGAAGACGAACTAGAAAAACAGCACCATGTGTTTTTTTGTGTTCTTTCAAACAAGCGAGGCAATGGCCGCCACCGGGGAGCTGGTTTAATATTTAGTGGTTTTATGTGTTGTGCTGTTGTCAGGCAGGTGGAGAGCAAGTCAGCAGGTTGAAGGGTGCGTTCGAAATTAACCTACAAACAGAATTCCTTCTACTCTGATCATTGCTGGGGTTTTAAAGGTGCACACGAAGGAATCCTGGAGGACATGTGTGATTACAGATCTGATTCTGTGAGGTCAAAGATACTGAACTTTTAGAGTACAGTTAATTTTCAGTTGAAAAGGGATCAAATAGGTAAATACAAACTAAAATGCAGTTTCTACAAGTTTGTTTTGTGCCCAAATAACCATCCTCTGCATTTTTTCATAAAAACTTAAAACATCTACAGACAGACCGTACACTAACAGCTGGTATTTATATATTTGTATATTTTTGGTGCCTTCGTTTTTGGAGAAAATAGCTCAGAGAACTTAAACTTATTATATGTATCAAAATGACCCTGTGGTTTGCTTCCAAAAGGGATTTTTCTTCTACAAAATACATACAGATCCATCACCGAGAAACTACAACCCAATAGGCTCTGTGACAAAATAAAAAAAAGCCATAAACTGATTAGAAATCATTAAAATTTACATCTTATTTGAAAAAAATGGTGTATAATAAAGCGTTTAACTACTCATATCACTACAAAAGAAAATAAATATCAGTAAGTTAAAAAAGCACCAACATTTTAGAAAGAGGGGACAGAGGAGTTTCTGTTGTAGTGTAACACTAAGGGGCAGTTTAAGTGGCCAGAACTGTCTCCTGCTACAGTCAAATCAGATGTTTGTTGTGAGCTGCTACCTCTCTCCTCACCTGTCACGTCTGTGTGTTCATAGTAGTCATAGGCACATGTTAGCGTCAAATGTGTGCGTGTGTGTGGCATCTGTTGGAAACTCCGTCTGCTGGTCACCTTATCTCCTCCATCTCCTTTCGTCCAGGCCCGTGAGGCAACTTCTCCAACTCCTCTCCTCCACATCACTGATGTGCAGATTAATATTCCCCTCCTCACTCCTCCCTCCTCTTCTCCTCGGGCTCCGTTTTCTGCAGCAACGCCGCACCCCTACAACCGAACTGACAGGCTTGTGTGTGTGTGTGTGTGACCTTTGCCTCCATCGACTCTCACCCCACCCCCCTCGCTCTCTCATCTCTATCACGGATTCTGCAGCAGCCCCTCCCACTGGATCGGCTGAGAGAACACCTCCCTCTCCAGCCACATCTCGTAGCTGTAGTGGAAGTCCTCTGGCAGATCCACGCGCTGGCCCAGCACGCTCTGCAGGCAGTTGTCCACGGGCATGAAGTCGCCGTTCTTGTTCTTATCATACCGGCGGCTGTTGAACTTCTCAATGTTCTCACGCAGGGCGCACTCCTCCGCCTGGAAGTCCCAGGGCCGTGCATCGATATCTGGGAAGAGAGGAGGAAACAAACTGAATCAATCCCTGAGACAGTCTTTTAAAATATACATATGAAGTAGTTTTGATATAAATATTTACATTTTTCTCAGTATTTGTATCTCTCCCTTGATGGTCTCCCTTATTTTCCTTTATTCATCTATTCTCTCTAACACCAATGGTGACAGATCCCTTGCTCTTCAACAAAGGGACTGTGACCCTGAAAAGTCCCCCATCTCTCTGTTGCCATGGCAATACAACCCCAGTCGCCAGGGGATGTCGGACCATTGTAGGTCTCACATATTGGAACGTACAGTTACCATACAGACAGATACATAAACACAACTGCACCATTAATTATACAATTAGAATTTACTAACCTTAAGTTACCACACAGCTTTGAGTGGATGCATTTTTTCTTTGCAGGAATTGTTCTATTTATCAGCTGCATGTGAGGGGGGAGGGGGACGACTGCTGGGACTAATTATCACTGTGATCGCTTCAAATATGAGGATCTGAGAGGTTAAACTGAGCCACGGCTCCGGGAGAATCATGAATAATAGTGACAGTGTGTTCTGATAACTGCTTCTTTTACAGAAGCAATTTTTATAAACATCGAAAGACCACACTGGTAAAAGAAGATAGAAGGAATGATGAGTGTAGGTAAATAAAGGTTGCAAAAGAGAGTTGAAATCTTTAAATTGCCAGAATAATGCAAAGATATATATTTTGTATATATCCATAAGACCTACTTGATATTGAAAATACATTGAAAATGTATTTATTTACTAAAGTGCATTTAATCATTTAATACTAATAATAATACATTTTACAGTCATTATTCAAACTGTTTACTCTCTGTACCTTTGACTGTACATAAAGATGGACAAAATATCTCCCTATCCTCCATCAGCTAATTAAAACCAAGTGGAAAAATGATCACTCAAACAAGTTTGATTAGAACAACTTATAATGACAGAACCTATTTTTGAGAATAATTTATTTGACATTCAATTTATATCTTCGTTATCAGACTTTATATACAGTCTTATCTGTACAATGAATTAATACATTTAGCAAATCCTCTTTACCGTTTCCGTACGCCCAGTCGTCGTTGAGCCTGTGGCGGACTTTCTGGTAAATGGCTGACATGGTCTTCATGTTGCTCTTCCTCCACTGGCGGCCCAGGTACTTGGTCTGGATCTTGAGCAACTTGAGGACGTAGAGCTGCATCATGGCCTGTTTCACCTTCAGAGCTCTCTTCAGGATGGGGGCCGACTTGAACACCACCAACATCTATTACAGGATTTAGGGATGAAGAGAAGAGCAGGACTCGTGTTTTACAAACTACATATCAATCCCTCCTTATTTTTCTCTTCACACTGATCAAGGCCTGGATCTGAGTAAAATTACATTAATTAGTTATTAGTCTCATAGTTTTCAATAGATTTAAAGAAAAAATTTAAATGGCCAGCTAGTTTTGAAGTCAGATGCTGATAGGACACACAGATTTAATTTAAAATATAGATTTTAAGACATTGTATCATGTCACATCACCAGACTCTGCTGTGATTCAGATTTCCTCACCATGGTCCTGGAGTGTTTCCACTTGGTCAGTTTGTTCAGGGTCCTCAGCAGGTTGATGCACGAGAACAGGTTCCTCCAGCAGAATTGGTTGCTGTCTCCTGCTTCCTGAAAGAACGCAGAGTCAGCTCATAGTAAGTTTTGGGAGAGCATACTCCTACTTGACCTTCATGCAGTTAGGATGCGTCAGGTGTGTTGTGACTCACCAGGCTCTCGGCTGTGAGCTCAGGCATCTCATGGACCACACAGTGAGGGAAGTCCAGCACACAGATGCTGCAGTGAAAACACAGAAATGTGGATTAAATAACAAATCCACTTTATAACATCCCAACCTGAATCTGCAAAAGATGTGATAGGCTGAAAACGTTTTTACAGTCTTCACACCTGAGCTTCCTATGACTCTATCACTTCTGTGAAGCCATATGTGCCACCATCCATGAGACATAATAGTCACACCCATAATGCCAGGTTACCCGTTTTGCACTGTAATACCAGGAGGAACCCAAAAAAGACAAATTGTCATATTCTCTGTACCTTCAACAGTTTAGCTCTTTTTGGTGGGATATAGAGATAAACTGTGCTATTCAGAGATGTCACCAATGAGAAGAGTGACAGAGAACAGGATCCTACCTGTTTTTGGCACTGATATAGGACATGATGTTCTGGTTGAAGAACTTGAGGATGAGTGGGATACAGTTGGCGAACACCAGGTGCTGGGAGACGATCTCAAACTGCAAAAACAGGGAAGGTGTGGGAGTGTTACACAGTTTGACAGTGTGGAAAAGAGCAACAACTGACAATAATAA